CAATTTAACCACTGTTAATACAAGACCAGTCAAAGTATTGGATTTCTAAGAAAAAAATTAACTGTAAAGTGATTAAACTTACTTATCACAGAACACTTCCTTGTCAACCTGTATTTTACTTCCTTTTTTAAAAGTGTGTGTGTGTGTGTGTGTGTGTGTGCGCTTTGTGAAGTGTGTAGGTCCTGTTACTCATGTCCTTGCATCTCTATTGACAAATGAGGAGACTGAGGCTCACAGTCATTATGTGACATGGACAGGCAGAAATGAGACTCAGTCATTACTTGACATGGACAGGTAGAAAGTGACAGAACCAAGACTCAGTCTCTTCATCACTCTGCTGCCTCAGATTTACGTAAATCTAAAAGTATTCTAGTCCAAAATGCATAGAAATACATTTTAGAAACAGTTGCTGGTTCAAGCTGATAAACATCACCAAAAAAGAATTGTAATATTTAATAACCTAAGTCTGTTTTCTGGTTGTTACATATATTCATATGTAACCTCTGTCCTGGAGCATGTCAGGAAGGTACCAGATAACATTCTTCTCTCTTCTTTCAGTCATTATGTTTTAAGCTGAAATTGGTGTACTCACCTTCCTAATGATGTGTTTTCTCCTCAAGATATTAAGTTATCTTTAGGTATTTGTAGTTAATGGATTGAGCTGTAAAGAAAACATTTTGGTGGTTAGAGAAATCACTCAGGGTTAAACGAGCACTGGCTGCTCTTGTAGAGTACTTAGGTTTGGTTTCCAGCACCCAGATGGCAGCTATCAACTGGCTGTAAATTCCAGGGGATCCAACACCCTCTTCTGGCCTCCATGGGTATTGCATGATATGGGTGCACTTAAATACATGCAGGCAATACACTCATATACGTAAAACATAAAATTAATTAAATAAAATATTTTAAAAAACATTTTGGCATTATTGAGGTTCTCTGTACAGGATTTTGAGTTCTAGGTGGTAAATAGGCATTTGTGGGTATGGCTCATGATTCCTACAGAGAGAGAGAGAGAGAAGAGAGAGAGAGAGAGAGAGAGAGAGTGTGTGTGTGTGGTTTAAGATAAGGCTGATTGTAGCCCAGGCTGACCCTGAACTTACTTTGTAGTTGAGACTGATATCCAACTACTCCACCTTTTGCTTGTCAGGATTTCAGGCGTGTGCCTCCAGGCCTGGTTCCTACAGTGCCATTTTATAGACATAGTTATATCTTCAAATGAGAAAAATGCTAATGATTATTTTTGGTTTTGCTTTTGTTTTTGCGACAGGGTCTCGCTGTGTGGCTTTGGCTGGCATAGATCTCACTACCTAGACCAGGCTGGCCTCAAACTCACAGAGATCCTCCTGCCTCTCTGTCTCGTGAGTGTTGGTATTAAAGGTGTATTAAAGGCATGTACCACCATGCCTGGATCCTAATGATTATTTTTAAAAGTGGATTTCATCATTGTTTATTCACTTGGTATTGTTCTAAACTATTAAAGTGACCTATTGCAATGTCATGAATATAATTGAAGTAAAAGGTCTCATTTTGTGGATGTGTTTTTATTGTATATTTCCATGATAACCCAATTGGCAATTCTAATTTTTTTCACTCTTTAGTAAAACCAGTTTACTGTTATTTTGACACTAGCCATCCATAACTTGCTTGTTGTTGGTCTCTTTATGGCTTTCCAAGGCCTTTCTGGAGCAATGCATTCTCAAGTGTTTCCTCCCGCTCATTTTGGTAGGTGGCCACAGCTAGATTCTGGGGCAGTTTGTCAACCTGCTTGTGGAAGCTTCTGCTAGTATTCTGGATCCTTGCATGTGAAATTAAGTTATTTCCATGTTTGAATATGGAGTGGGCATGGATGTGTGGCATCAAGGTCATGTTGTATTTAAAGTTACATGAAAAGCCTATGTAATGTATGTTTTAATGCTGAAAAGCATTATTGCTTACTTCCATGGTCACAGTAGAATGTCAGTAGCTGTTTTAATTCTTTTACGTTTGAATTCATAGTTCTTTAAGTGGTAAATTTTGATGTGCCAAGCCATTTTACTACATTATTTCATGGAGTTTGGCTTTGCTTAACTGTAGCCGAGTTTTGCTTTTTAGTGCTTTCTTAAACAGTGATTTGTCAGTTATGTCAGTGCATTTTTGTCTGTTATGAGACCCTCTCGTTCCCCTTGCAATGTGCTCATTATTTCTTAATTTCTTGCTTCCTGGTATTCTGTTTTTCCCTTTTCTTCCCTCATCAAAATAAAAACAAAAACAACAAAACAGAAAAAAACTGTCAGTAGTCTAATTTGGTTCATTGAGCAAAACTGCTTTGTTATGAACATTAGGACTACGAGGATAACTTTAAAACGTAACTTGTCTTTCAGATTGCTTTTAAATAAAAACATTTTAAATATTTAGTTTCTTTCCTTTGAATCAGTAACCAGGTTGGTAAAAATTTCCAGATCAGGAAATTCAACAACTTTTTATGCGTTTACAGTGTCTCATTACATAATTACCAATAGTGTACAATTGGAGCAGCTTCCCTGCCTGCGTTCCCCATCCCTTATTGTGACAAGCATCTAGTTGGAAGGTGCTGTTTTAAGTATTTTCTGCCACTAAATAACACACCATTCTGCTACTGCATGCCCTTCAGTAGTGGGAGCCATAGATGGAGGTGTGTCACGTCGGCATTGGTGACTCACACACATAGTACTTTGTCCACCAAGTGGAAGCAACTGACTGAACTCGGGGCCCACATCTGCTCTTCTCCATCTCTTTAAAGATGACTGTTTCACTACTTTTCTAGTCTTCCTGCCTCTTACACTAATGTCTGTAGTTCAGTAGTTCCAAAGATTTTCTGTTCTCTTCCAAAGCTGTGGAAGTACACACACACACACACACACACACACACACACACACACACACAC